AACCGAGGAGATATTCTCAATGTCCGCAAGCTCCTCCAAGGCTGAAATTTTAGACTCGAATTTGGGGGGCAAGCTGATAAGAATTTGCTCTACTACCCTTGATTCCGGAAAATCCTCCCATAGCAGTCTCATTTTGTTTACCACGTCCAAGAGTTTGGATGCATAGTCCATCACTGATTCATTTTTCTGCATTCTGAGTAATGCAAACTCACTCTTCAGTCTCAGAATTTTTACCTTCCTGCTTCTGACTCCCCCATCGAACTCTTCCTTAAGTTTTTTCCAAGCAGCCTTTGGTGATTCGAAGTTCATAATCCTTGAAAATACCCTATCTGAAACGGCCGAGAAAAGGCAAGCAATTGCCTTTGGTTTCTTGGCTTTATCTTCCTCGTGCCTTGTAATTTGGTTTATAGTGGCAGTGTCCCCTGGTGGAAGAGGATCACTGTCATCCAGTATAACATCCCACAGACTTAAGGCTTTCAGATGAGCTCTCGTTTTGATTGCCCATTCATGGTAGTTTTCTTCATTAAAGTGTGGAGGGGGTGTTGTTGCAGTGGATGTCATTGGATTTTTGAGAGTATATTGATTTACAGGTCCCTTAAGATAACTGCTCTGATACCACTTGTTGATTGAAAGAGAATAAGCTTCAAAGGAGGCTTTGTGAATGAACAAACTTAGAGAGAGAAAGTTGAGGAGAGAAAGGGCAGCAAAACAGAGAAAGCTTATGCAACTGCCTCTGTTTTGCTGTTCTGAAGATGCGTGCTTTTTCTGGAGAGAATGAGTTATCTTCTCCTTTATTTCATCATATATATATAGCAATACAAATTTAAACGGATTACATCAACCAATCGATCAAATCAGATCGTCCGAAAATCATGCATACACATCACATGAGATTTTACGTATCCTTCCGTGAAACATCCTCACGGTGGATTTCTATTTTTTGAATTTAACCTTAATAGAAAAAATCATTAATTTTAACAAATATTATTGCTGAGCTTCTTTCTGTATTGAACAAGTTGGCCATCAGTTGCAAGGTCTGTTTTTCTGACCCAAATTTTGTAATGGGTAGATCTTTGAACCTCAGGGGATAGTTTTCAGGCACTGGATCCTACAAAATAGAGTCTGTAGTCCAGAGTTAGATTTCCATTACCTATTGTAATTGATCATACAAATAAGGCTCTAACAGCTGGCCAACAATCAACCTGTTTCACATGTTATTAGATACAATAGAAATGGCCAATCTCTAAGTGTATATGTTCTGTTATCAAGAAAGGCACAAAATGTTATAATACCTGGTAAATGAAAGCAACCTTGTAAATGCAGCTTGGAAATAACAGCACGAACAAGAAAAGTGGTGGCACTACAAGTTCGAAACATGATGCTTGGAAGCTTGAAATGATTAGCGATTTTTGGAGAGAAATGTATGACTTCGTGATAAATGATGTAGGCAAATGGAGGATGAGAAGGGTCCTGGTGATTTATGATCTGGGCCAAGAAATTTTCGAAGGGTTCTTGACATTTGGCATTAAGAAGCAGAATAAGATCTATCATATTTCCTGGAGAAGTCTGTTGCTCAAGAAATGTATATGGTATGGAGATGAAATCGAATGCAGGGTGGGCTGATGGGTTAGGAGGGTTGAATTGAGTGTGAGCAACGGTGATGGAGAAGCCTTTTGAGTGAAGAATTGAACCTAGCTGAAGCATTGGGTTTATGTGACCCTGAAATGGGCATGACACAAGCAGCAATTTGCAAACTTTCATTTCTTGTTTCTCCATTTCTCTTTGGTTCTCCCTCTATGTGATTTCAATTTAAGTTGCTGCTTCTGCAATACATCATATATATATATGTATGTATATATGTAGTGGAGGTTAGAAATAGAATCCATGAGAAAATCTGATATGGTTTAAGAGAAAATCTGATACGGTTTAAGAGAAAATATGATGTGATTGAAGAAAAAAAAAATCTACAATTTTAGTGGATACATATTGAAATCTTATTAGATGATAATTTTCTTATACAGTTATATGTTTTGCAGCACATATCTTTTAAGGTGTAATAACATTAGATGGATGCAATCTAATACAGTTAACATTTACTCCATTGCCGTTTCTTCTTTGACCTCTATTATTGCTTTGTAGATCTTCTTTTTGGTCTCCTTTTTTTAGTAGAAGCTCATCAAAAATGGAAAAAGAATCAAACATCTTCGTCATTTTTCTTTTGGCACTATATCACTCATTTACAAGAGATCGTGTAAACGACGATACGTTGGGATCTGACATATCTATCGCAAAATGAATAATGCGTTGATTGGTTGGCAAATGCTGACTTCTCTTTACCGGTAGTCCTCTATTCTCATGTTCAAGTGCTGAATGATCTCCAATAGTTCTTCATTAACAATACTACAAGTATCTTTTGGCTCAAGATATGCATAATAATCTCTTAATTTTTTTTAAACTTTTGTCTCTCATTGTGCAAAAAAAAAATAAAATTCTTCAAACAATTATGAATAATTTTTGTCTTGATCTGGGTAGCTTTAAGATGATTACGAAGAAAATGAGATCATGAAATCATTTAAATATAAAATTAAGTTTTTTAATTTTTTATAATGTATGACGTATATATTTATTTATTTATTATATTTTAATATTTATACGGACAATAATTAAATAATATTTATTTAAAATAATAAAGATTATGAAACCCTAACTGTTACTCATCCTTGAAAAAACACATGCGCTTTTGCTGATCTGAATTTAGAATTAATAATTTGAAGTTCTATATATGTAAAAAATTTATTTTATGTGGTCAAGTGAACGTCTCAATTTTATATATTTTAGTAATTTTTGTGTGTTAAATATTACCGTGCTCGAATTTTATTATTTTTAATAAAATTTAAAATATATGATTCTAATTCTATATACATGTTAATATATTGTACTTACATTATCATTTATCGTAATGAAAAATATGGACATATTATCATATACATTATTTAAATTAATTTGGTATCTAAAAATTGTATATTCCATAATTTGTAGTCAATTAAAGGTTAATTTCTCTTTTTACATTTTAAGAATTTAAATTGATAATTACTATACATATTATCGTATTAATATCATTTTTATATTTTAAACTTTGATAAATAATATTTAAAATTATCTCTATATCATATATAATTATAATTAATATTTTATATATAGATTATATATTTTAAAATTTATTAGGGTCAAATCTCACTAGCCCAAAGGGGACTTGTCTTCGGAGAGCCCATTGCAAAACCCAAGTACGTAAATGGGCCTTGAAGCTCAAAAAAAGAAAGATCTGGAACATTCGACCTCCTCCTCGTTTAGTTTTTGACTTGCTTTTCGCGCGAAAATTACAGAAGCTGGAAGAAGAATCTGGACATGGAAATTCTCCTCTCACAACTCTCTTCTCCTTTCTATAAATGCACCGATCAACCCACCTCTTCGCCATCGAACCAGAAGATAGTAAGCTAAATCTTCAATACATTTATTTCAAGGTTTTCTCAAGCTCAAACCTAGCTCTTTAACGATGTCGCTGATTCCAAGCTTCTTCGGCAACCGAAGCAGCGTCTGCGATCCCTTCTCCCTCGACGTTTGGGACCCGTTTTGGAATTTCCCTTCCCGTTCGTCGTCTCTTTCTCGCGAGAGTTCCGCAATCGTTGACACGCGTGTGGACTGGAAGGAGACCCCGGAGGCGCACGTGTTCAAGGCGGATCTCCCGGGGATGAAGAAGGAGGAGGTGAAAGTGGAGGTGGAAGATAACAGGGTGCTGAAGATCAGCGGGGAGAGACACGTGGAGGAGGAGGAAAAGAAGGAGACATGGCACCGTGTGGAACGTAGCAGCGGGAAGTTCTCAAGGTGGTTCAGGTTGCCGGAGAACGTGAAGATGGAAGAGGTGAAGGCTTCAATGGAGAATGGGGTGCTCACTGTTACGGTGCCTAAAGCGGAGGTGAAGAAGCCTGACGTTAAGGCCATCGAGATTTCTGGCTGAAAGTTTCAAATCCAAGATTGTCGTCTTGGTCATCTCTTCTGCAACAGGTGTTTGTTGATGCTTTTGTCTGCTAGATGTTTGACAATATGCCACCTTTGTGTTATTGTTTTTAAGATGTTGGATAAAATACAAGATTGTTAGTGTCTCTCCTGTGGGTTTTTGGATTTTGTAATGATAATACAGAATTGATGTTCTAATAATAAGAAAGTAATACAAATAATAAAATTATTTTCTGCTTCATTATTATTATTATTATTTTTCTGCTTTGAGAGTTAATAATCATTTCTCGATTGTTCTCTCTAAGAGAAGTGATTGTTTGCCATTCATTTTGTCAAGGTAGAGTCGGAGTAAAGCCTGCGGAGGGTAGACCTGCTGTCGTGTCTACGGAGACCCGGTATTGACATGTTTGTTTTGGTTTGCTCTGCTATTCTATTTAACCAAAAGCATCAAGTACTCTTACAAGCTAGTTCTGCCTGATATATGTAGATGGCTGAGGAGAGAACAGAATCATACAAATTGAATTTGTAGATGACCCAGAAAAGCTTAAAACATGCTGATTGAATTATATAGATGATACTAAAGAATTCAACATCAGGATAATACCTTGGTGGCATCATCTGGGCCAACTCTTCTTGAAGGCTAAAAGCTCCTGATTAAAGACACTAGAGTTAGGTTAGTCATTGAGGATATGAAGTATGTTCAGGCTAACTGGTGGGACAAGGAAATTGTAATGAATATGAGCAGAAATAATGGATCAGATTGTTCAAATTTATTTTCTACCCCTTCAACACATGATAACTGCTTGTTCTGGAGTCAATCTCCTTGGACACCTTCAATTCAATCATATACCAATCCCTACTACCAAGGATTTGGCTTCTTGGTATTTTTATCTGCTCACAGTTTTCGGTGAATGAGGTTATGACATGGGTTTCAAATCCCAAAGTCTGAAAGAGTTATGGCCCTTAACTTAGAAAGGAAAACTAGCAGCACCGACGTTTATGAAAAAATGGCTGCTGCAGACTGCTTGAGGACGAAGATTTGGTCTGCATTACAGCGTCTAATATTTTCTGGCAGGTTTTTGGAATCAGGTTATTACAAGTCTAGCTAGTTGATTCACAATTAGAGCCTTCCTATGATTTTTTTGGAGTCAGGTTAAACATTCACTTTTCACGCATTTGAAAAACTTAGTTTGTGACAACCACTTTGTAAGAAGAACATTTTTTTGCATTCTTTGAGAATGAGACAACCCTAAGAGGACATAATAAACTCTACCAACTCATTCAAGGAATTGCTTGAAGGACCATCACTATTAATGCTAGCTTCAGCCATATGTTTTAAATCCCTTGACCTCTTTCTCATCTCCTTCCCTTCTTCTTCAACCATTAGTCTCAGAACAATTTTCTCTATTTCACCTCGCTCCAACTCATTTTCATACTGCCAACCTACTTTCCATACTTGGCTAACATACCTTGCAGTCACATTTTGATCCCCAAAACATGGTCTGCATATCATTGGAACCCCTTCACATATACTTTCAAGTGTGGAATTCCATCCGCAATGGGTCCAGAACCCTCCTACTACATCATGTGCCAGCACTTGTTTCTGGGGTGCCCATCTCACAATGCAGCCTCTTTCTCTAACTGAAAATTTGAAATTCTTTGTGAATGGCTCCATCCATTCGGAGGCAATTTTCTGGCTGGATCGTATTACCCACAAGAAAGGCTGCTTGCTATTGGCCAGTCCCCAAGCCATCTCTTCTACCTCCTTAGCATCCATGGATGCTATGCTTCCCAAGCTTATGTACATGACAGAATTTTGAGCTCGCTTGTCGAGCCATGCTATGCAACTGGTGTCCTCTTCTAATAAGCTACTGGTGGATTCTGGAGCAAGCTTATGCATAGGGTCAATTGGGAAGATTGTGTGCTGTTTTTGGTGCTGAATAATTGCTAATGACGATTGTTCAAGACAATCCATCGTGTTAAATACTGTTGCTGAGCTTCTTTCTGTATTGGACAAGTTAGGCATCAGTTGCGAGGTTTGTTCTTCTGATCCAGGTTTCATAAAGGGTAGATCTTTGAACCTCAGAGGATAGTGTTCAGGCACTAGATCATGCAATACAGAGTCTGTAGTTCAAAGTCAGATTTCCAGTATCAGTGGTTTGTCTATTGTAATTAAATACAGACGAGATTTCTAAAAGTTAGGGAACCAGCAACCCATTAACGTAATTTGCTGGAAAAGAGAGATGGCCATATCTCTAAGCGTACATGTTTTGCTATCGAGAGAGGCACGAACATGTTATAATACCTGGTAAAGGAAGGCGGCCTTGTAAATATATCTTGGGAATGACTGCACGAGCAAGGTAACTTGTGGCACTGCAAGTTCAAAACAAGATGCTTGGAGGCTTGAAATGACTGGCAACTATTGGAGTGAAATACATGGCCTCGTCATAGATGATGCAGGCGATTTGAGGATGAGAACAGTCCTGGTGATTTATCGTCTGGGCCAAGAGTTTTTTGAAGGGTTCTTGACATTTGGCATTAAGAAGCAGAACAAGATCTACCATATTTCCTGGAGAAATCTGTTGCTCAAGAAAGATATCTGGTTTGGAGATGAAGTTGAAGGCAGGGTGGACTGATGGGTTGGGAGAGTTGAATCGAGCATGAATTATGGTGATGGAGAATCCTTTTGAGTGAAGAACTGAACCTAGCTGAAGCATTGGGTTTATGTGACCCTGAAATGGACATGGCACAGGCAACAATTTGCAACCTTTCTTTTCTTCTTTCTCCATCTCTCTTTAGCCCTCTCTCTGTATATGATTTCAATTTAGGCTGCAGCAAGTTCAATGAGGTATTTTGTTTTAATGAAGTTTATACTATACATATATATGTGTGTGTGGAATTGTGGAGACAGAATCCACAAAAAGATCTGGTGTAATTTGAGCAAAAAAAAGAACATTCCACTAAGAAATCTGGTGTGATTTAAGAAAAAAATCTGTAGTTTTAGTGTATATATATTGCAGTTATAGGATTATAATTTTCTTAAAAAGTTATATGATTTGCAACACTTACTTTTTAAGGTCTGACATTATATGGATGCAATTTAGTACTAAAGTTACATTTTAGCATAGTTTGGTTAACTTTTATTCTACATCCCTTCTTTCATTCATCTCATCTCTTTGAAACTTGTACAATGAAACGCCTTTTTCTTTCTTTTTTTTCTTTTCCCTTGTTTAGTTCAAGGTCATCAAAAAGTGGAAAAGAGCTAACCTTCTTCATAATTTTTTTTTTCTGGAGCTGTATATCACTCCTTTATAAGAGGATTGTGTAGACAAAAGGATTTGTTCGTAGTGATTTATCTTTAAACTTTGTTGGATAATAGTTATAAAGTTATGTTAGAAATTTCCAAAAAAAAAAAGGAAGCTAATCTGGCTGCCTTGACATTTTGGACACGTTCATGAATTTCCTCTCTCTTCTCTGTCACCTTCTGGGGAAAGTCCTGCGGATGTTAACAGGCATGCGGGCTGGAAGGAGACACCGGAGGCGGACATCTCCCTGTGATGAAGAATGAGGAAGTGAAAGTGGAAGTGGGAAGATGGCAGGGTGAGACACATGACATTGCACTCGGTGGAGTGCAGCAGTACTAAATTCTCGACGAGGTTCGGGTGGGTTGCCGGAGATGAAGGCTTAATGGAGAAAGGGGGTGCTCACTACTTCTGTCCCTAAAGCTGAGGTGACGAAGCCTGACGTCAAGGCCGTTGAGATTTCTGGCTGACCATTTTGTAGCAAGTATTAAATATTCACCTATATCAGAATTGCTTATTTTAAAATTTTAAATAATAATTATTTGTTCTGCCAAAATTAATTATAATTTATATGTTTGATGTATGATAAAATTAATTTTTTCTTTATTTTTAACTGAACAATGATGAAAATGAGCGGGCTTATTGGTTTAGATTCGGTAAATTTTAATTAATTAAAGTTAAATTCTATTTATATTTTAAAGAATTGAAATTGATAATTATTATACATATTATCACATTAGTTTTATTTTTATATTTTAAAATTTGATAAATAATATTTAAAATTATCCCTATCATATATAATTTTAATTATATTAGATTATATATTTTAAAATTTATTAATTTATTTTAATACATTTAACGTTGAAAACTCAAAGAGTCAAACGCCTTCTGGGTCTCCTAGGGGGCTCGTCTTTGAAAAGCCCATTATAAAACCCAACTACTTAAATGGGCCTTGAAGCCCATAAAAAGAAATATCTGGAACATTCGCCTTCCTCCTCTTTTGTTTGACTTGCTTTTCGCGCGAAACTAACAGAAGAAACAGAAGCTGGAAGAAGAATCTGGACATGGAAATTCTCCTCCCGCAACTCTATTCTCCTTTTTATAAGTCCACCGATCAGCCCTCCTCTTCGCCATCGAACCGCAAAACATAGCAAGCTAATATCTCTCTACACCTTTTATTTCAAAGTTTTCTCAAGCTCAAACCTATCTTTTTAACAATGTCGCTGATTCCAAGCTTCTTCGGCCACCGAAGCAGCGTCTTCGATCCCTTCTCCCTCGACGTTTGGGAGCCGTTTTGGAATTCCCCTCTCCGTTCATCGTCAATTTCTCGGGAGAGTTCCGCGATCATTAACACTCGTGTGGACTGGAAGGAGACCCCGGAGGCGCACGTGTTCGCGGCGGATCTCCCGGGGATGAAGAAGGAGGAGGTGAAAGTGGAGGTGGAAGATAACAGGGTGCTGAAGATCAGCGGGGAGAGACACGTGGAGGAGGAGGAGAAGAACGAGACGTGGCACCGTGTGGAACGTAGGAGCGGGAAGTTCTCGAGGAGGTTCAGGTTGCCGGAGAACGTGAAGATGGAAGAGGTGAAGGCTTCAATGGAAAATGGGGTGCTCACTGTTACTGTACCTAAAGCTGAAGTGAAGAAGCCTGACGTTAAGGCTATCGAGATTTCTGGTTGAAAGTTTCGAACCCTGGGTTGTCGTCTTGGTCACGTCTTCTGCAACAGGTGTTTGTTGATTCTTTTGTACGCTAAATGTTTGACAAAATGCCACCTTTGTGTTATTGTTTGTAAGATGTTTGATAAAATGCTAGACTGTTGGAGTGTCTCATGTGGGTTTTTGGATTTTGTAGTGATAATATAGAATTACTGAATTGATGTTCTAATAATAAGAAAATAATACATATTATAAAATTATTTTCTGGTTCGTAATTTTTTTCTTCTTGGAGAGTTAATTATCATTTCACAATTGTTCCTTTTAAGAGAAGTGATTGTTTTCCATTCGTTTTGTTACGGTAGATTCGGACTAAAGCCTGTGGCGTGTAGATCTGCTGTCATGTGTGTGGACTCATCAATGATATGTTTGTTTTGGTTTGCTCTGGTATTCCCTTTAACAAAAGCATCAAGTACTTTGACAAGCTAGCTCTGCCTGAAATATCTTAGATGGCTTAGGAGAGTATAGTATCATACAAATTGAATTTGTAGATGACATTGAAAAGCTTAAAACATGCTGATTGAATTATATAGATGACTCCGAAGAATTCAACCTGAGGCTGATAACTTGTTGTCATGATCTTGTCCAAATCTTCTTGAAATGGACTTCTTTCATGTTGATGCTGAGACTCAATTTAAAGGCTATAATGGAATCCTGATTAAAGACATTAGAGTTAGATTAGTCATTGAGAATAGGAAGAGATGAAATATGTTCAGGATAACTGGTGGGTCAAGGAAATTGAAACGAATGTGAGCAGAAGCAATGGATTGGATTGTCTGAACTTATTTCCTATTTCTTTAACACATGATAATTGCTTGTTCTGGATTTAATCTCCTTGGACACCTTAGATTCAATCATATGCCTTTCCGCACTACCAAGGTTTTTGGCTTCTTGGTATTTTCTTGCTCACCAATTTAGCTGAATGAGGTTTTGACATGGGTTTCAAGTCCCTGAGTTCTGAAAGAGTATTGGCCCTTAACTTAACAAGAAAAACTAACAGTACCGTTGTACGTGAAAAAATGGCTTACTGCAGACGGCTTGAGGAAGAAGATTTCATCTCCATTACAGCATCAAATGTTTTCTTTCAGGTTTTTTGGAGTCAGGTTATTACTAGTTTAGCTAGTTGATTTACAATTAGAGCCTTCCTTTAATTTCTTTTCAATAATGAAAAGTCAGTTGTTACAAAGTATACAGAACAATCCCCACTGGGGCTTAAACATTCACCTTTCAAGCATTTAAAAAACTTAGTTTATAACAACCAGTTTGTAAAAACAACATTCTTTTGCATCCTTTGGGAATAGCAAAACCAAGAGAAACCTAGGAGGACATAATAAACTCTACCAACTCATTCAAGGAAATATGCGAAGGACCATCACTATTAAAGCTAGCTTCAAGCTTATGCTTTAAGTCCCTTGCCCTCATCCTCATTTCTTTCCCTTCTTCTTCAACCATTAGTCTCAGAACAATTTTCTCTATTTCACCTTGCTCCATGTTGATCGAAAGCGAATAAGCTTCAAAGGAGGCTCTGTGAATGAGAAAACTTAGAGAGAGAAAGTTGAGGAGAGAGAGGGCAGCAAAACAGAGCAAGTTTATGCAACTGCCTCTGTTTTGCTGTTTTGAAGAGGCGTGCCCTTTCTTTGGAGAGAAGAAGTAATCTCTTCTTTTTATTTCAGCATATATATATATATATATATATAGAAATAAAAATTTAAACAGATTACATCAACCGATCAAATCAGATCGACCGAAAATCATGCATACACATCGCATGGAATTTTACGTATCCTTCCGTGAAACAACTTCACAGTGGATTTCTTTTTTTTGAATTTAAACTCAACAGAAAAAATCATTAAATTTAACACTCCCCCTTAATGACTTTTTTCACCAATTCCCACCTTTTCCCGCAATTCCTCAAATTTAGCTTTAGACAAGGCCTTGGTTAGAATGTCTGCAAGCTGATCATCAGTGGAACAATGTATCAGCTTTATTTCTTGATTCCTCTCAGCCTCACGTATAGCATGATACTTAACGTTGATGTGTTTAGTTCTCCTGTGCATTACAGGATTTTTCGCAATGGCAATTGCAGACTTGTTGTCTACATACAACACTGTAGGTGTTTGTTTGTCCAGTTTTACATCATTGAACATCTTTCTCAACCAAATTGCTTAGTTAGTTGCTGTAGCTGCGGCTACATACTCAGCCTCAGCTGTGAACTGAGCCACAGTATCCTGTTTCTTAGATACCCATGAAAAAGCACCGGAGCCTAGTTTGAACAAGTAACCAGTTGTGCTACGTGCATCTTCTACGCTTCCTGCCCAATAATTGTCACTGTAGCCGACTAATCCACCCTTAGCTCTTGCTTTGAATTGAACACTAAAATTCCAGGTTCCTTTCAAGTACCTCAGCACATGTTTGGCAGCTTGTAAGTGTGATTCCCTCGGTGAAGTCATGTACCTTGAAAGCAAACTTACTGCAAACAAAATATCTGGTCTGGTAGCTGTGAGATACAGAAGGCTCCCAATCAGACTTCTGTAATTCCCCTCTTCAACTTTGTTACCTTTCTCGTCCTTTGACAATTTCAAGTTGGACACCAGTGATGTAGATATTGATTTACAGTGATTCATGTTGAATTTATTTAGAATTTCTTTGGCATACTTGCCTTGTGAAAGAAAAATATCCAGGTTGCTTTGATGAATCTCCATTCCCAGGAAGTAGGTAGCCTCCCCAAGATCAGACATCTCAAATTCTTTTTCAAATTTCAGCTTGAACTCTATCATTTTCCTTTTGTTGCTGCCTGTCACCAGTATATCATCAACATATTCAGCACTTTGACGTGCTCATTCTGCTTGAAGTATGCAGATGGCTAAGGAGAGTACAATATCATTCAAATCGTATTTCATAGATGACCCAAGAAATTATAATCATGCTGATTGAATTAATGTGATGATACCAAGGAATTCGGCATCAGGTTGATTCTGTGTTGCCATCATCTAAGACAACTCTTCTTGGTATGTACTTCTTTCTTGCCATTGTGAAGGCTATAAATCCTGATTAAAGGCATGAAATAGATTAGTCATTTAGTATAGACCGAGATGAGGTAATATCAGGCACAACTGCTTGTCCTTATTGAAACAAATATGAGCAGATGGAACGGTTGTGGCTGTCTGAGTTCTAAATTCCTTTACAAATGATAATTGCTTGTTCTGGACTCAATCTTCTTGGATTCAATCTCCTTGTACACCTTTGGATTCAATCATATAATTTACCCCATAATACTTAGGTTTTTTGGCTTGTTGGTATTTCTTGCTTGCCACTTTGTGCGATTAAGGTTATGGCATGGGGCTTCAAATCATGAAATCTGAAAGAGTGTTGGTCCTCAACTAAAAAAATAGTATTGCTGTATATGGAAAAATGGCTTACTGCAGCTGCAGACTGCTTTAGGACAGAGATTTAATTTCCATTGCAGTGTCTTTGATGTTTTCTTTCAGGTTTTTGGTAGTCATGTTATTATTAGTCTAGTTTTTATTTTTTTTAAGGTTTTTTGACTTGTGGTACTTCTTGCTTACCACTTTGTGTGATTAAGGTTAAGGCATGGGGCTTCAAATCATGAAATCTGAAAGAGTGTTGGTCTTTAACTAAAAAAATAGTATTGCTGTATATGGAATAATGGCTTACTGCAGTTGCAGACTGCTTTTGGACAGAGATTTAATTTCCATTGCAGTGTCCTTGATGTTTTCTTTCAGGTTTTCGGTAGTCACTTTATTATTAGTTTAGTTATTTGATTCATAGTTAGGGTATTACTTTGATCTTTTTCAATAATGGAAATTCATCTATTATGAAGTACACAAAACTATTGCACTGAGGCCTAAACGTTCGCCATTCAAGCAAAAAATCAATAATGGAAATTCAGCTATTATGAAGTACACAAAACTATTGCACTGAGGCCTAAACGTTCGCCATTCAAGCATTTAGAAAACCTAGTCTGTGACAACCAAATGCTTTGCATTCCTTGAGAAGGATTTTTGCTGTGACCGAGAGAAATCTAAGAGGACATAATAAACTCTACCAACTCATTCAAGGAATTGTGTGAAGGACCATCATTATTAATGCTAGCTTCAACCATATGTTTTAAATCCCTTGCCCTCTTTCTCATCTCCTTCCCTTCTTCTTCAACCATCAGTCTCAGAACAATTTTCTCTATATCACCTTGCTCCAACTCATTCTCATACTGCCATCCTACTCTCCATATTTGGCTAACATACCTTGCAGTCACATTTTGATCACCAAAACATGGTCTGCATATCATTGGAACCCCTTCACATAGACTCTCCAGTGTTGAATTCCACCCGCAATGGGTCCAAAACCCTCCTACTGCTTCATGTGCCAACACTTGTTTCTGGGGTGCCCATCTCACAATGCACCCTCTTTCTCCAACTAAAATTTTGAAATCCTTTGTGAATGATTCCATCCATTCTGAGGCAATTTTCTGGCTGGATCGTATCACCCACAAGAAAGGCTGCTTGCTAGTGGCCAGTCCCCAGGCCATCTCTTCTACCTCCTTGGCATTCATGGATGCTATGGTCCCCAAGCTTATGTATATGACAGAATCTTGAGCTTGCTTGTCAAGCCATGCTATGCAACTGGTGTCTTCTTCTAATAAGCTACTGGTGGAGTCTGGAGCAAGCTTATGCATAGGGCCAACTGGGAAGATTGGAAGTTGTTTTTGGTGTCGAATAATTGCTAATGCTGATTGTTCAAGGCAATCTATAGTGTTAAATATTATTGCTGAGCTTCTTTCTATATTGAACAAGTTGGTCATCAGTCGCAAGGTCTGTTCTTCAAATTTTGTAACTGGTAGATCTTTGAACCTCAGGGGATAGTGTTCAGGCACTGGATCCTGCAAAATAGAGTCTGTAGTCCAGAGTTAGATTTGCAATATCTGTTGTAGTTGGTCATACAAACAAGACTCTAAAGTTGGCCCAAGATCAACATGTTTCACATATTATTAGATGCAAAAGAAATTGCGAATCTATAAGTGTACGTATTAGACTATCAAGAAAAGCACAAAATGTAATAATACCTGGTAACGGAAGGCAACCTTGTAAATGCAGCTTGGGAATAACAGCACGAACAAGAAGACTGGTGGCGCTACAAGTTCGAAACATGATACTAGGAATCTTAAAATGATTAGCAATTGCTGGAGAGAAATACATGACTTCATCATAGATGATGCAGGCAATGAAGGTGAGAAGGGCCTGGTTGATTTATCATCTGTGCCAAGAATTTTTTAAGGGTTCTTGACTTTGGCGTAAAA